AGCAGCTATGCTGTAATTAAAAAAAAAGGAATTTATTAAATTGTTAAACAGTAAGTCAAGCACCTATGTCTCGTGTATTTTACCTGTTTTTTTTTCTGAGAGATCTCGGAGAAAACTGTGATAGAGCAACTGAAAACTATTTTAATACTTGCATATCAGAAAATATAATAATGTTACAAAAATGTGTTTGGGTTTCAGATCTACAGTCATGGTAGTTTTTGTAAGAAATTGCCTACTCCTTTTTGTAAAAAAAAAAAAAAAAAAAAAAAAAGAGAGAGAGAAATATCTCCTTCATCAAGCAGGGGACATCAAGCACTAAGCAGGCTTCCGGTATTTGAGCTGAACAGCTTAGTCTGATATGTGGTTGCAGTAGAAACTGCTTTCTCTGAAAGAATGAGGTGAAACAAATTGTAATCCAGCACTAGAGTGCACAGGGCAGTCTGCTGAGCCCAGCACAGCTTGGCGTTCCTCTTGCCCCCCCACCCCGGTTTGGGAGTTGAGAAAAATCTCTGATGGCTTCCGCGTTCCTCTGCTTCTCAGAGGGAAGTATGCTGGAAGAGGGAGATGTTTCCAAAAAACAAAGTTTCTCTGGCAGCTCCTGGACATTCTTGAGACAGGGGCTGCTACTATTAGTTCAGCAGTGGTGTTGGCTCAGCCGTGAGATATTTATGTTCCTCCATTACTTGGCAGTCTGCCTCTGTGTGTGTGTTTAAAGTAACATCCGTGAAAGGGAAATAGAAACTTCCAACAGTTTCTCTTGGCAGATTCTATTGTAGAAAATGGAGATGATAGAGGTTTTCATGAATAAAGTTGTTCTTTATATATAAACTGCATCATCCAGCAAGTATTAAGTATAAGCATCATTCTCAAGTTCCAAAATAAAACTGAAAACTACAGTATTGAAGGCAACCAAAAGCTTGTGGGCGAAAGGAGGAAGTGAATGGTTTCCTCCTTGGGTGGTGGCTGTATCTTGAAAGTTCTAGCTAATGTGGATCCTACTGGAGATGACTAGTACCTGGAAGGTGTTTCTGTTGTAGAAGTAATTGGACTTGTCTGAATTTGGTGTTAGATTTGCTGCCATACAATTTAATTCAAGCCTGTAGTTTGTTTGCATGACATAGCCTTGTAGTTCTCAGAGGCTGAACATTCCTGAAAGGAAGGGAGGGCACGTGTGCATGTGTATGTGTGTACATGCATGCCTCCTTTGCTCTGCTTGCATTAAACTTGCTAGTCTGCAGGAGAGGCTGGCTAGTTGTGTGGTAGGTGAACAAGCGCTCTCTCTCTCATGCAGCCCCCCTGTGGCAAAACAGTGTGGGCTTCTCAATGGCCAGATAGCACCACAAAGAAGCAGATGGAGCAAAACGCTTAGTCTTGATCAGGGCATGGTGCCCACCAGCTCCAGAACATGGAGATTCCTTTTTTCTTGTATCAAGTGGAGCTTGGAGAAAAAGGCTGCTGTATAATCAATTATTTTAGGAGGAGCACTTGAAAACACATGTGGGTGGTAAGGTGTAAGAGCTGAAGTGTAGTTCGTCCCCGGTAGAAACGTGCATAAAACGGTCAGTGGATTTTTGTATTGAGATGACCATCTTCCTGTTACCTGGAGTATAAAAACGTCTGTGGGAGTGGTTCAGAGGAACAATGTGGGGTTTAGGCAGGAAGGGCTGAGCCTTTTTTTTTTTTTTTAAGGGGGCAGTTGAGCGGGGGGTGGGTAATTGAAGATTGCATTTAGATGGCGTCAGCGCTAAGAAAGAGAGCAAAACAAGTTCTGTCATGGCATCCTAGTATTGCTTCAGGGTGACCCTCAAGGGCTTTAAATGCTGCATGAGAACCTTTTAAGCAAAGTACATAATAATCATTGGTAGTTCCAGATTCCTTTGGGCTGTCTGAACAGAGTATATTGTCCATTTTAAGAAGGAGGCTGTTGGAAAATTTCTTGCTGCATGTTGGAGCCATGAAAAAATCCTTTAACAGCCATTTGTAATATCGTATCTGCCCAGTCATAAATTAAGTTACTGGCTCTACGTCTTCAGCAACGTTGGCAGCGTTGCTACCATCTCATCCAGAGCCTGATCGTTTCTTGACTGAGCACAGATGTTAGCTTCTCCTTAATTGCTTACGTGACATATCCTGCGTATTTTGTTGGCTGGGACTGTGAGCCCCTGACTGTGAATTTGCTCAGAATAAGGGAGCCATATTATAGGCCAGTCTAACATCAGACACTCTTACACGGGGACACGTCAGTAACTGTGACTGTGCTCCTGCCTCTGTGCAAATGGGTCAGGTGGAGCACTCCTCCTGTCTCCACGGCTTCTGTGCAAAGCGTTGCAGTGCTGAGGTGGGAGAGAAAGACACCGCTCCCGGGGTTTGGCCACCAGCGAAGGTAAAGGTGGCAAGAACGCCTGACCTGGATGATGGAAAGCATGAATATCAGCCAGAGTTGAAAAGCTTGTAGAAGTCAGGCAGGTATATAAGGGCCAGTAGGCCAAGACTCCTTGTAGATAACTGTACATTGTGATGGCTGTAGTTAATTGCAAGTCATTTGCCATCAATAGGAAAGATGAGACTCTGTCTTCTGGGGAGAGAATTTGTGTTGGCTGAGAGGCACCTAACGCTTTGGTGGATGCTGCTGTTTGTAACAGCATTTGACATAATAAACAAGCACTTACAGTTTAAAAAAACAAGCAAAGAATGTACTTTGCTCTCTTACTGACACCTTGTGAGCATTCAACTACAGATAGCTAGAGCTTCTTTGGTTTTGTGAAATACATCACCACAATATACAAAGACTGGGTATTGTTGGTGCTGTGGTCAGTCTAAAGAGAAAGAGCCTGTAGAGGTAGTAGTCTGCTGCCATGGCAAATTTTATGCACTTGCAGTGGGCTCTTGACATGTTCAGCAAGTTGAGGGCTGTGAGCCAGTCCTGCTCGTGATAGATGTCAGAAGCAGCTGTTTACTGCCTTGAAATGCTAGATGGGTTACTATATCCTCCTGAACATCTAGAACAGAATTGCTGTTATTCTTTAAAATAAGACGATACAGAGTACAGAGAGTGGCTTTCAGTGAACAGGGTTTCCAAATTGCACTGGGGACCACAGACTGCCCTTGTGCCTGCAAATTTCCTCCCAGAAAGAGCTGACAGGATTTTTGACTTCAGGCTTTTAATTGTGCAAAACAAATGTGTTTTTTTTTTTTTTTGGTTGGTGATGGACTTGAAACAAATGTTGAGAGGCAAAATACCCAATAGAGGTACAAGGAGTAAGACCACAGCACTGGATTCAAATTTATAGTTCTCCTCCCAGAAGGGCCAGACCTGTTCCTGCAGGAACAGAAAGACCTGCTGCTAGCCTGTTCTTGGGCACACTACATAGAATCCAGTGGAAAAATGGGTCATGTGCTGGAAAAAAAGTATATACGGAGTAAGGGAAAAGGGAGGGCCCAGGAACAGTCTTAGTCAGGGTTTTTGATAGCCATAAATGAAAGCCTGTGTTTACTAGCATCTTCTTATCCATCCTTCTTTTCTTCCTCCTTCCTTGCCTGCCCCCCTCCCTTCATTTTAAGGTTTAGCAATCATACTTGCTTAACGTAATATGTTCAGGAAAAGCAGAATAAGGATACATGCTCCAATGTCTTGAGTTACATTAACTAAAAGCCAAGTCCATTTCTGACACTTAATTCTCGATTCTTCAAATGCTACACTTGATCATCTAAACATACTATAAAAACTTTGTTTTGATCAGTTTTTCAAGGCGATAACATATTTGCTTCAAGCTTTAAATAACCAAACAACCTTCACTAGTCATCACTGAGCTCTTAGGTTAAACTCCTGGATATAACAAGGATAGAAGTACAGGAATTAGGCTACAAAATTGGGGTAAATCTTTCAGTCAGGAGCTCATTACAACAGAGTTCACATTCACATAGAACTTGTTACCTAGGTTGCCTATGCTAGAAGTAGCAAATGTACCCCCACCCAATCATCCTAAGAAAAGCCAGGCTCATTTTCGAAATTTAATTTATTATTGACAGGAGGAGGTCACCTTCCCTTTGCAGCACAGTAGGACTCGGGGGTGGGAGGGCCACAAATTAGCTGGGAAGCTTGCAAGACGAAGCAATAAGAAAATGCCAGCAACGTCTCCCAAAACTCCCTGCTTGGGTTACGATGCAAAGCATGAGTTTGAGATGGCAGTTGTAATTGTCTCTATTGTCAACTTAAAAAATTCACGGGTCGTGAGCCTGCAGAGGATTGTAAGCATTAACTTTGCTTTAGCAAAAGGTACTGAAGAGCAGAGGTGATCTAATCACGCAGCTCTCTATTAACCTTAGTTTGCCGCATTTCTGCCTGTTGACTTGACAGTGACTTTCCTCCCTGAAAGGCTTGAAAGCTGCATGCCCTTGCTCCATGGGCACCTGGTGCTGTTGGGAGCCATAAACATACTCCTGCTGGAGGACTGCTGATAAACACCTTTTCCAAAGAACATTGCTACTGTCGGGAGTGGCAAGAGTAAGGTAACTGAAGAGTGAATGGGGTCATATAAGCATTTATTTATTTTGGTGGTGTTTCAGATTGCTTTAAAGTAGGTAGGATTTTATTAACTTTAGAGATTATAAATAAGTGTGCCTGTCAGTCACTGTTTAGGGACCACAGTAGTAAGTGTGCGATAAATAGGACTTTTCTGTGGTCTCTTAGCTTAAACTTGTTAACACTTTGTTCTCTCCATTTTTAAGGCTTGTTCAGAGTGCAGGAAAACACAAATTTTCAAAATTGCTAGTTCCTCTTAGTAAGGCTAAGTATTAAATGGATGAAACTAAATAAAGTAAGAGCTATCACACCTGTCACAGCTGCAATACTTGAAATAAAGGTATCAAGTCCAATAATAAAACATTGGTGGAGAATGTGTGTTCCCACTGGTGACTTAGCTTAAAAATTAGCCTTAATAGGAATATGGCTCACTAATTTAAGATATAGTTATGAAACTGATTTTCATCACTGAAAGTATCTGTTACTATAATATTTATTTTCTTGTGAATTTATCCCAGTTTAGCCTACTTTAATAGCTTTGAGATGCCTTTTTTTTTTTTTTCCCTTTTCCTGTCCTTTACAAAGGAGCTTGCTCTTTTAACAAGGGTTTGTAACTCATCGGTCACCTTCAAGCTACTCTTCCTAGCTAATGCAGAAGCAGCTGTAACAGACACTTTGAGGAATCATGTCAGACTTTTTTCTACATGTTTAACTATGGACGTTCTTTCCACTGCTATTCCAGCCCACCCTTCACGCCAACAGATTCCTTCTTTCCTCCCTTCAGCAAATACTCTGACTCTTGTTTAGCTCAATTCTACATCAACTTTTATTAAGTAATGAAACTTGCAATGCAATCATGTCATTTACACTGCTTGCATATTCTCTTTCCCCATTCTTCCGTTAACATCCAGCACAGTCATTTTACATTTTGCGCAGCGGTAAAAGTTCACTGGATGTTAGATCAGTTATCTAAGCAATACAGATGTAGCTAGAATTCAATACAGTTATTTGCATGAATTTGCTAATGCCGTAGAAGAATTGTTATTGAGCTCATATCCTTAAATACAATAGCCTAAAACAGCAGCCAATTAACACTGGAAAGAATCTAATCTTACAATTTCCATCACATTTTTTAATTTACACAGTGTCACGTTTCTGCTTTTTTCTTGTCGGAGTCACATAGGTATTAATTTTGAAGGATGCCGTTATGTGCCCGCTAACTTCTTTCCTATCAGTACAAAACAGCATTCTCCTCTTTCTCAACAACTGTGCCTTGCCAAAGAGTAAATTTTCATCTGGATGCTTTTGTTTTCTAAAGTCTACAACTGAACTATGACCTCTCAGCCGAAAGACCCCCTGCTTAGGTTGCAGTTCCTTCTCTTATGTCAGACAGGAAAGAACTCAACCATGTCTTAAAATAGGGACTTGCTATGTACTTGTTCACAGCTCATTCAGTTTCCCACTGCCACTCTCGAGGCCCTTGGAGGCAATACCTCCTACCCAATACAAGAGAAGGAGCCTCCCCCCAAACTAGAAGCATTTATCTTCTGAGTTAAGGTTAGCTATGAGTAACTGCTGAGTTTTCAGTTTTTCCAGTGAGGAAAGAAAGAATTTCATCATACTAACTCCAGTTCTCCAGATACTTTTAAATAAAACTGTTGAACTGAAAGTCCACCACAAAAATCTCTCTTGTTTTGTGCTTCTTGCAAAAGAAACAGGAGGAAGAGAGAACAGAGGGCAATGGAGAAGAATACAGGATTGTTTTCTTCTTGTGAGAGGCTAATCCACAGAGTAAAGTTTAATTACCTTAGTGTAAATAGCATGTTTCTTTAGTGCTCTTAAGTATATTTGCAAATTAAAATATGTAGTGCAATAGTGTTGTTTACATTTGGACTCCAAACCTCCCCACACCAACAGATCACAAAGTCTCTCAGATTAAATACAGAGCTGGGAGAAAGAATTGAATTTGCCCAGTGAATGGCTTTAGACCAAAAGTAGTTTGTAGCATTAATTTTGAAATCTAATAGAAATCATTTTGTGAAAATAATAAAACACCCTATCTCACTAGTGTAGACAGGAGTATACAAGCAAAGGAATACTATGTCATCACTCACCTTTTTACCAATATGCAATTAGAGAACACAGTAATTCCAAATAAGAAAATGTTTCCTTGAAATTATATAGCAATATTTAACTAAAGACTTGTAGCAAAATATACAAGTAGCACATGATTTTCTAAACAAACTACTGGCCATTGCTATTTATCAATAATGTGTAAATAATTATTTCACCATTATTTCACCAACTTAACAGCAGACAGTAGTGTAAGGAAATGTTTTAAACAGAAGAACAGGATTTTAATTAAATAAAAAAAAGAGTTACATAAATAGCTCAGACTGAAGTGCAAGTGATTTATTCTTAGTTTCACACAGAGGGAACGACGACGGAATTTTTTCAGTTTCACAGTGTATATAATTTATCTGAAGTTGCCCACTAAACTGCAGTTGAAATCTTAAGAAGGCTACTGATATTACGCATCTTGCGCAAGCAAAGCATTCACCTACTGTTTAAATGTTTCTGTTTTAAAAACAGCACAATGAACAGTACCACTGAAGAATACATTTACTCAAAGAACGGCTGATGAAAATATTTTCCTATATTTAAATGAGATGTAATTACAACTTTGCTAAAGTGAACCACTCTGTTTATAATAAACGTTAAAGTAGTCCAAAACCACTGTCATTAATCCTTTGAGAGCCTGCAACAGAACTTAGCAGTTCCCAAATGTTTAACAGGCCAAAAACCAAGGAGGTCATGCCTAACTGTGTGCATAGTCATATATACATACACGAGACAAAGAAAGGCTTGTATAGTGATTTAACAGATTCATTATGGGTTTGTTACTTGAATTTGCTAGGAAAAACAGCATGATTTATCAGTCTCAGTCACCTCCCACGTTTACGGGGAAGACTGCCATTTTTGGACCACCTTCCCTCAAAGCTGCATTAGACCACAGATTCCTCTATAGCAGACTATGAATTGCTTCTTTCATTGCCAGTTTGTTTTCTTTCTGGATCAAGAGAACTGCCTTCAAATAAAATTTTGTTTTTCATTCCTTCTCTAAGCATTCTTTGCCGGATCCTGTGTTGGGCAAAATTGTACCTGCAATAAAACCTAGGGAAGGGAAGGAAAGAAAACATGATTCCCTGCTTCATATTAGTGACAATATCAAATTAAGAGTTATTCCAGGAGTTGAAAAGTTGAAACCACATACAGTAATGCCAGTAAAATTAATTATGATATAAAGTAGGTAACCGCTGCTTTTCTAAGGCAAAGATTATGCACCACTTAGGAGACATGTCTTCATTTCAATGATGTGAAACTTAATCTCATGAACACCGACATGCTGCCTTTATAATTAGGATGGAAGGGTGGTACATGTGAAGAAAATAAAAGAAAGAATTAAGAAAGAAGGAAAGAACAACTGGGTTATTTTACCTCTTAGGATTCAAGAAAAATATAGCAAGTTTTTTGAAACAGAGTATTAACATAGAAAGTCAAGATCATTTAACTCTGTCCCCTTAAAAATATTTTCTAGGAGAAAGGAGAGGACACTTTGCTAGATAAGTCTTTTATGGTGTTCCAGGAACAGCATGAAAGGTCAGAAGTGGATCATGTTGTACAAAGCTGCCAACACAGATCTGTCAAAATTCAAGAAACGTTTTACATACCAGTATCCTAACATTGTGAAAATAAAGCCACCAACTGCAAAGTCACAAGATCTTCTAACTCTACCTGAAAGAAAAACAAAAATTCTTCCAAAAATCAGAGAAAGAAACTTTGCGACTTGGGTTCCTATTGGTTCCCATTATAAGAATAAATATCAAACAGCAAACAGGAACAAATTTATCCTTACAAATAAATACAGAAAAGACAGAAGGAAGAAGTACTTACTGGTTGCTAAAAAATGTCCAAGACCCACAACTAAAGATCCCAGTGAGCCATAGAGTACTGATTCTCGTGCACACGGGACATTTTTAACATCAAGGAATCCTAGGAGTTTAAAGGACTATAAGAAAAAAAAAAATCTAATTACAAAAACATTTATGATTCAGCTTAATATATAAAAGCTATACTGGAACTCACCTTCACCTTGCATTCTCCTTTCTAGTATTTTAGCAAAATAATAAGAATAATATTATCAGATTATCTTGTGAGTTATTACACAGAAGTTACCTTGATTTCTGCTCTGCCTTAACTTTGTCACTTTATTAGTTTCAACTGCATGTTTACCTGCATAGATAAAGCACAGCCATATAAAACTAATGATATGTCAACCATCTTATTACAGAATTTTTAAAAATTACTTTTGTAGAAGACTATGACCCCCAACTTCATTGTGAAATTGTACTCTTAGCAATCAAAAATAAATACTCAAGGCCTTCCTATTTCCAAGGTTATATTTGAGCAAGTGATTACCATACATGACAGCCATACAGCTTTACCATACAGCTGTCCATGTTTGCCAAGAATGGTTTCAAAGGAGTTAACAATTGATTTACGGACATCATTTTGTATAAACGTGGTGATCCATCCTTCCTATTTAAGATTATAAGAGAACTACTTCCTTGTGTCCTTTATATTCCCAAAAGAAGGAAGGCAGAAAACCCATAGGAATCGAAATATTTTTGTTTAAAAACAAAATACATTGTAACAAACAGGTAAGGTTACAATCCCTTATGCAGTTAGTTACACAGTGTAATTTTATCATCTGAAAAAGCAAACGTGCTTTAAAAAAGTGAAAAAAACCCCTGAAAAATACACATGCACTAGAGAAACCTTATACTGAGTAAAGAACAAAAAGATTTTTAAACCAGTGATTTTTAACCTAATCCTATGTATAGGCTAGGATTTTGCATAGAAATTCATCTTTACACAACAGCTGAATTTTTAAGTAAATCTACTAGTAAAAATTACTCAATTATTTCATACCCTGCCCTACATTTATAATCTATTCTAACCTATATGTACCACTTTTCTATTAAACTCTCAAACAGCAATTACAAGCAGCATTCATAAACTCAACTCTGGACTGAGAAATACACTTTTTATTTCAGAGGTGATCATACTGGCTTTAATACAATCTAAGCTTTCTAGCCTCAGTATAAGTCATATTTCCTACCCGACAAACATCCTTATAAACATGTGCTTGCACCACAAGCAGGAACAGGAAGCTACATATGAGAAGGCTTCAAGAGGACACGTGTCAGAGTTAAGGTGGCTGAACAGTAATAATACCTGCGCTTTCCCCTGCAAATAATTCTTTTGCCAGTGATAGTGTGAGAATTCTGTCTTCATGCATTTTGCTGTGTTTAAGTCCTTAGACCACCATACACCATGTGTGCAACAGTACCAACTAAAACCTAGAAAGATGATTTTTTTTAATGGTTGTAATTTTTTGGTAAGGATATTGTACTTAGCATACGTGAAGAGCAGACAACTCTGTGAGACAAATCATTGTGAAATACATCTGACTGGCATTAGGGATGGCAAGTGTTTCATAACAGCTGGATTTGTATGCAAGTATGGAAAATCCCCATCAATAATTATATCTATACTCTCTGTGGACAACCATCAGCTGTTTCAACACAATCTCTTTGTACAAATGAGAGAAAAATGATTTGATCTATATTGGTCTAATCTCCTCATGAATAACGTCAAGTACCCCTATATGGAAGAAGTCATTTGATATGTTGCTGTTGTTGACTAAGGCGGCACCCGTGCTACATGATGCATACTTTTAAAATAGTATTTCACCTGTTACTGTAGTTGAAATCATTTGTTACAAATCTACCTATTGGTGTTACAAAGGCTACAATGTCACCACAGTGTTTCACCCCAAAAGAGAAAGGCCCTGTAGAAGGGTCGGGGGGGGGGTCTTAATGAGCCACACAGAGCCTTAATTCTGTCACCTGAAGTATCCGTTTTCATATCTCGTTCCATAACTATTTCCATAGCAACAAAGAAGCCTACTAACACAGCAGGTTAACAGTTGCAGTTCACAAGTGGCATGAAACAACCTAAACCTCTAAGTGCCCCGCACCTGGCTGGCCACGGGTGGGTGTCCCCGCCTTGGCGCGGGTGGCCCCCAGGCGGCGCGGCCCGGCCCCAAGGAGGGGGCCTGCCTCCTCCAC